CAGTTTTCTCTTAAATATTTTTAACCTCTGCTTTTCCTAAGATTGTATTATTTAACCAGGGTCTTAGAGTTACAAATCAAATTTATAGCTTGTGACATCAGAACAGAACAACAGTTTCAGTGAAGTGTTCTGAGATTGTGGTACAAATTTCAGGATGGAAATGGCCGAGACCGTTAATGTAGCTCACGATATCTCAAGGTTGACATTTGGGCCTGATAATTCTTTATTGTGGGAGGCTGTCCTTTGTGTTGTAGGTTTGGCAGACTCACCGGAGTCCACACACTAGAACCAGTAGAGCTCCAAAAGTGATAACCGAAAATATCTCTAGACATTGTCAAATGTCCCTGGTGGGGACAGAATCACCCCTGATTGGGAACTGCTATGTAGCCAAATTTAAAGAACATACTGGTTCAAAAACAAAAAAAAAAGAGAACATACTGGTTCAATAGAAGGTGAGTCTTTGTATTTTTAAGTGTTCTGAGTGTATTGACAGCTAGAAAATAATGGTGAACTCTAACGCTACTGGTCTTTGTTCTTGCTGTGACCATTTAAAGATTTACTTGCTACTTTATTGATGAGCCAGAGCTTGTAATAATTGGTATTACAGAAACCTCTGGTTTCCAGTACTCCAGAAATCTCCATGAGAAGTTTTTTTCTTAGCTGTATGAAGATGAACCACATAGCTACAAGATGTGGTGGTTTATTTGAAGAAAGTATTACCTGTATATTTTATATTTTTACCTAAATCTATAAAGACTTAGTTTTTCAATCGAAACTTGCCTGTAGGCTTATTTTTTCCTATAAAACCACACTCCATTCTTATGAAAAAAGCTTGAAATTATTTGCTGACATTAAAATGTATGTTTATGAATACAATGAATCAATGTTAGTTTCATAGAATTATGTGCATAAAATGTAGTTGTATAAAAAAGTGAAAGAGTAAGAGTTGAGTGCTGATTATCCAGTGAAATTAAATCCTCGTTAGAGCAATTTAAAACATGAAAAATTGAGAACTTAAGAGCCTCCGCAAAGATGAGAGACTCAAGAAGCTGCAGTGTACAAGTTTTACATAAAAATTTTAATTCTTTGCTGTTGGCTTTTAAAAATTACGAGTTTAGTGGAAATCTTTTTACTTACCTATATCTGAACAAGAAAAAGTAAATCTCTATAAGTATATGGTTTACTTTTAATATTAGAGCACCAGGAAAAGAATCCAAATTTGACTACCATTGGGTTAGAATGTGTAGCAGCAGCTCAAGAAGTAAGTTATTTGGTAACTACCTTTTACTGAATAATTTAGCAAAAGGCTAAAAATTAATGTCTGAAATAAATTTCTTTAAGAAAGTAAGCTCTATTATTTCTGCATAAAGTTTTTTATTTAATTGATGTTAGCCTTTAATACAATTTGGTAGTATTTAGTGTGTTCACAATGTTGTGCAGCCACCAGAGCTCTATTTTAAAAACTTTTCCTTACCCCATAGAAACACTGATAAGTAACTATTCCCAATTCCACCTCTTCCCATCCCCTGATATAACCTCTAATCTTTCTGTTTCTATGGGCTTGCCTATTATGGATATATCATGTAAAGGGAATCATACAGTACATGTCCTTTTGTTTCTGGATTCTTTTTGCTTTAATATTTTCAAGGTTTATCTAAATTGCAGCATATATTAGTACTTTTTGCTTTTTATGGCTGAATAACAGCCCATTGTGTGAATTTGTTTTTCCAGTCATCCATTGATTGGAAAATGTGTTTTTCACAGTTTGTTTTTCCAATCACAGTTGGAAAGTCACAATTTGTTTTTCCAGTCATCCATTGATGGACATTTAGATATTTGGATTTCCACCTTTGGCTATTATGAATAATGCTGCTATAAACATTTGTGTACAAGTTTCTGTGTGGACATGTCTTCATTTTCCTTGGATATATATCTAGGAGTGGAGTTGCTGAGTCACATGGTAATTCTATAACGTTTTGAGGAACCTCCAAACTTTTCCATAGTGGCTGTATCATTGTACATTCCTAACAGCTATTTCTCCAAATTGCTAATACTTGTATTTCCTTTTTTTTTTTTTTTTTTTATTAAAGCCATCCTACTAGGTGCAAAGTGGTATCTCACTGTGGTTTTGATTCACATTTCTTTTCAGTTCCTTTGTTCATTATTAAATTGGGTTGTTTTTGTCGTTGCTGAGTTGCAGGAGTTCTTTTTTTTTTTTTTTCCCCCGGTATGCGGGCCTCTCACTGTTGTGGCCTCTCCCGTTGCAGAGCACAGGCTCCACACGCGCAGGCTCAGCAGCCATGGCTCACGGGCCCAGCCGCTCCGCGGCATGTGGGATCTTCCCGGACCGGGGCACGAACCTGTGTCCCCTGCATCGGCAGGCGGACTCTCAACCACTGCGCCACCAGGGAAGCCCCTGTAGGAGTTCTTTATTCTAGGTATTGACTCTACATCCAATATATGATTTACAAATATTTTCTCCCATTCTGTAGATTGCCTTTTCACATTCTTGTTAATGTTCTTTGATGCATAAAAGTTTAAAATTTTTATTTAGTACAATTAATTTTTTTCTTTTGTTGCTTATACTTTTGGTGTCAAGCCTAAGAATCCATTGCCAAATCCAGTGTTATAAAGATTAGCCCGTATGTTTTTCTAGGAATTTTATAGTTTTAGCCCTTAAATTTAGGGCATTGACCCATTTTGAGTCAATTTTTGTATATGGAGTGAGGTAGAGTTCCAGCTTCATTCTTTTGAATGAGGTTATCCAGTTCCAGCAGTATTTGTTGAAGAGACTGTTTTTTCCCCACTGAATGGTCTTGGCACCTTTGTCAAAAATCAGTTTGCCATAGATGTTTTGTTTTATTTCTATATTCTCAATTCTGTTCCTTTGGCCTATATTAAGCCAGTACCATACACATTTGACTACTGTAGCCTTGTAGTAGGTTTTAAAATCAGAAGGTTTGAGTCCTCCCACTTTGTTTTTCTTTTTCAGTATTGTTTAGGATATTTGGGGCCCCTTGCAGTTCCATATGAATTTGAGGATTGGCTTTTCTATTTCTGCAAAAAAAAAAAAAAAAAAAACAAGACCATTAGAATTTTGATGAGGATTGTACTGAATCTGTAGATCGCTTGACAGTTACCATCTTAAAAATGTTAAGTATTTCAATCAGTGAACATGGATTATCTTTCCATTACTTTTAGGTCTTCTTTAATTTCTTTCTGTAATGTTTTGTAGTTTCCAGTGTACAGGTCTTTCACCTCTTTGGTTAAATTTATTCATGATATTTTATCCTTTTTGATGTTATTATAAATGGAATTGTTTTGTTAATATCTTTTTTTGGATTGTACCTTACTGGTATATAAAACACTGATTAGTGTGTGTTGACCCTGCTGAATTCATTTATTAGCTCTAGTAGTATTTTTGTGGATTTTATGATATTTTCTATATATGGAATCATGTTATCTTTAAATAGAGATAATTTTACTTCTTGCTTTTTAATTTGGATGCCTTTTATTTATTTTTCTTGCCGAATTGCTCTGACTAGGACTTACAGTACAATGTTGAGTAGTAGGGATGAAAACAGGCATCCTTGTCTTGTTCTTTATCTTATGAAGGCAGCTTTCAGTCTTTCACCATTGAGTATAATGTTAATTGTGGATATATCATAAATGCTCTTTATTAAGGAAGTTTCCTTCTATTCTTAGTTTGCTGAGTTTTTTAATCATGAAAGGGTGTTGAATTTTGTCAAATACTTTTTCTATAACTATTGAAGTAATCATATTTTCCTCCCCTTTGTTCTGTTAATTTAGTGTATTACATTGAATTGTTTTCTTTGGTTGAACCACCCTTGCATTCCTGGGATAAATATCACTTGGTTATGGTGTATAATCCTTTTAGCGTGCTGTTGGGTTTGGTTTGTTAGTATTTTGTTGAAGATTTTTACATCTATATTCATAAGGGATATTGTTCTATATTTTCTTCTGTCTTTATCTGACTTTGTTATCAGGATAATGCTGGCCTCATTGAATGTGTTAGAAAGTGTTCTCTCTTTTTTTATTTTTTGGAAAAATTTGAATAGGAGTGACATTAATTTATCTTTTATCTTTTTGAATTCACTAGCAAAACCATCTGGTCCAGGACATTTCTTTGATGGAAAATTTTTGATTATTGATTCAATCTCTTTACTTATTATAGGGCAGTTGAGGTTTTCTATTTATTCTTGAGTCAGCTTTGGTAATTTTGTGTTTCTAGGAATTTGTCCATTTCATCTATTTTATTCAGTTTGTCATACAATTGTTCATAGTGTTCTCTTATAATACTTTTAATTTCTGTAAGGTTGGTTGTAATGTCCCTGCTTTTATTTGTAATTTTAGTTATATGTACTTGCTCTCTCTTTTTTTTTTTTTTAGTAGTCTAGCTGAGGGTTTGTCAATTTTGTTGATATTTTATTTGGTTTCATTGATTTTTTTTGGCTGCATTGGGTCTTCATTGCTGCGTGCGGGCTTTCTCTAGTTGTGGTGAGTGGGGCTACTTTTCATTGCGGTGGGCAGGCTTCTCATTGCAGTGGCTTCTCGTTGTGGAGCACAGGCTCTAGGTGCGTGGGCTTCAGTGTTTGTGGCACATGGGCTCAGTAGTTGTGGCTCGTGGGCTCTAGAGCGCAGGCTCAGTAGTTGTGGCACGCAGGCTTAGTTGCTCTGCAGCATGGGGGATCTTCCCGAACCCGTGTCCCCTGCATTGGCAGGCGGATTCTTAACCACTGCACCACCAGGGAAGTCCCTCTAGTTTCTTAAGGTGCAAAGTTCAGTTGATTTGAGATCTTTCTTCTGTATTAATGTATATGTTTGCAGCTATAAATTTCTCTCTGAGTACTTCTTTTGCTGCATCCCATAAGTTTGGTATGTTTTATTTTTGTTTTCATTCATCTCAAAGTATTTTCTGACTTTCCTATTTCTTTCTTCTTTGACTCATCGGCTGTTAAGGATGCATTGTTTAATTTCCACATATTTGTGGATTTTCCTGTTTTTCTTCTGTTATTGATTTCTAGCTTCATTCCATTATGGTTAGAGAAGATAGTTTGTATGATTTCAATTTTTTTTATTTATGGAAAATTGTTTTATGGGCTAACAGACTATCCTGAAGAATGTTCCATGTGCACTTGAGAAGAATGTGTCTTCTGCTATTGTTGGGTGAAGTGTTCTGTATATGTCTGTTAGGTCTAGGTGGTTTAGAGTATTGTTCAAGTCCTCTGTTTCCTTTTTAATCTTCTGTCTAGATGTCTATCCATTATTTAAAGTAAAGTATTGAGACCTCTAACTATTATTGTAGAACTATTTCTCCTTTCAGTTCTGTCAATGTTTCCTTCATATATTTTCTGGCTCTGTTGTTTGGTGCATATATATCTGTAATTTTTATATCTTGTTGTGGATTGACCCTTTTAACTATAAAATGTCTTTCCTTGTCTCTTGTACAATTTTTTTAATTTAAAATCTGTATTGTCTGATATTTGTATAGCCATGCCAGCCAGCTCTCTTTTAGCTGCTATTTGTATGGATTTACATAGTTTTGATAGCAAAATTCAGATTATGATCTAGGCAAGTGATGGTGGTTCAAAAATAAATTTTTGTCATGTTATTGCTTATTTATTTAACTGGAGTTAGTTTAAAAGTGTCAAGAAATGTCTTATATGCATATATATTTTTTTAAGTGTGTGTACTGTTTACTATAGAATTTATTCTTTGGGGATTAGGATATTTCTTGTATTTCTTTGTAGCTAAAAGCTGATACTATAAACTTTAGTTTACTATATGCATCATGTCCCAGTTGCATTTATAGTCTACATAGTCAACTATAGTTCTCAAATAATAATCATATTAATTGCTACTAGATTATCATATATGTGTTTGTGTGTGTGTGTATTCCCTTTAATGTATATTTAAAGTAGACATCAAGTCAGTTTTATACCCATAGTACCCAACAGGCTTACGTTTTGACTTCTAAAACTCTGGAAGTGGAGATCACATATACTTCTTTCGTTGAAAATTTACTATAGGTTTTTATTTGTAAAATTCTGAGAGTATATTGGCTACATGTATGGCATGCATTTCTCTCCAGGTATACCATTATACCAAGTAGAGCACATTTTGGTGATACCATTCTATAGAAGTAAATTGACGAAGCTAATTCAATGTTAATTTACTATACTTTTCTAATACCAGTTTCTCTTTAATTCTTTGACAGAAAAGTTTAGGTTTAGGTGGTTAATGCAGTATGATTTAGAAATATATGAATTTGATAATTTTTTCCTTTTGGGAAAATTATTTTAAAGCCCATAGTATTTTACTGGTAAGATTATTTACATTTTAAAAGTACCTGTCATAATACTTTGCTAAGACAATTTATTATTGAAAGAATTCATGTGTATTTCTGGGCAATTATAAGGAAGTTAAGGTTGCAGAATGAGCTGTGAATGTTCTTACCTGTCCTCTCCCTCTAAGAGTTGTTGCTCATTGTTTTGTTTCTCCATGTTGCTTCCAATTCTCTAATAATCCTTTAGGATTAGTACCTAATCCCAGCAAACAAAAATATTCAAGGAGTCCCTATGGATTATGATGAGGAAAAGAAAAATTTTATCAAGAAGAGATGAGCTATTAGTAAGTATTACTGTCAACTTTGTGCTCAGCACCATGGAATTCATAGTAAGAACAAGGATATAGAAAGTCAAAGATAAAAATACAGAAATTGTTATTCATTTAAGCATTTAACATATATGAGCTATCTGAAATGTACTTGTCGCATACAAATAAAAGTTTGCTTTCCTAAAAAGGAAATAGATTATCTGATGCTATTAAATAAAGCAGTGGTTAAGACTCTAGATGCTAGAGGAAAACTGTCATATTCAAAACCTGGCTTTACTGCTCTGATAATGTAACTTAATATGAGCTACTTAATCTCTAAGCCTTAGCATTTTTGTCCATAGAACAGGAATTGTGATAGTACCTACCTCGTTCAGTTGAAACACAGTGTTTACCACAATAGTACATTTTTAATAAAAGCTTAGTTGTCTTTTGTTGTAGCTAAAAGCTATTGAAAAAATAAAGGATCTATTCATTAAATGACTGAATGAGATGTTTGCTTTTAAAAACATATTGATCAAGTCAGAAAAGGTTGCATAGGTAAATTGTGTGAACATTCATGTTTTTACATTTATTTGGTAAAACATATTGACCAAGTCAGAAAAAGTTGTATAAGGTACATTGTGTGAACATTCACATTTTACATTTATTTGGTAATTTACATAAAAAACAGTGTGTGCTTCTATAATGCATTCATTTCTAAAAGAATGTAATGCAATTTGATATTACAAGTTATTTCCAGAAAGGAGAGAATATGAAGAACAGTCATAATAATCTATAAAATTCCATTTATTAAATATTTAGCTTTTTTCCAAATACTATTTTTCTCATCATGTTTTGAGTGCAGTAATAAGGGAATATTTAGTAAAAAGCCATTGTTGAATTGCCTTGTTTTTTTCTCCCTCAAAGAGAGTCTATACCAAGTAGAAAATGTACTGGTGATTTTCTTTATTTACCTATTCTATGCACTGTTCCAGAAAGGATATAAGACTTCTGTTATTGTGTTAGTTTGACTTTAATACCTGTCAATTCAGTGAAGGAAAAAAAAGCTCAATCAAATCATATACTATGTTGATAAAACAATATATTTGAGTTTTTTTAAAACAATTCCACTTCTTCATGCATTTTTGTAGAAGTCATACTATTTGAAAACATGTTCTGACTTATGTTTTTGCAGCTTTTAAGAGGAACTGAATTCTGATTACCTCAAAATTGTTTTGTTTAGCCCAGTAACACCTATTGAACACTGAAACTATTCTGGGTGTGGTCTTGAGAAACAGATCAGGGACCTCCAAGGATGTATTTCAGTGAAACAATGTCACTGTAACTCAAAATGGTTATCTCCTAGATTTACTACGAGTGTGGTGCTTCTCAAACGTTTCCCCACAGCAGTACTTTGTATAGCACCCTCCACTTCTCCTTTGTAGCAGCAGGCTTCACATTTATAAATATTTGTAATGATTACAGTTTTGTTAGAATACAAGTTCCAAGAGGAGAAGTCCATCTTATTCATTACTACATCCCCAAATCTTAATAACAGCTGGCACTTAGCGAGTATCTAATAAATTTTTATAGCATGAAGGACTTTCTGAAATTAATTCTGCTGGCTACTCGTCAGTGCACACCTCCAAAGGTGTGGAGCATAGTCCAAAACTGCCTCTAACACCCAGAAAATATCTTTGAAGGCATCCATTTTATTTACCTTTAAAATTCATGTGACTTTAAATTCTCATCCATTACATGTATCTTTTAATGTGTTTTGTTATTCCCAAGAAAAATGGACACGTTAGGGGTATGTAGCATAGTTTTAAGGATACAACTATGTGAGTGTTTTGGAACTGGAACTGTCTTCAAATTCTGTCTTGATTTTTAGCAAATACCTTAAACTTGAGTTAGCATCTGAAAAGTGGGTTTAAGAATACTTATCTTGATGGTTTTGTGGTTTTTTAAGAGAGCAAAATGCAAATGTGCTTAAAGTACTTGGCATACATAGTATATACTCAAATATTGGCTCCCTTTTCCCCCTCTTACTAGGAAACTTCTAGTTTCCCTTCCGAGAACCTCAATTTTTCTCTGGTTCTTTTCATTAAGTATACATGATCTGTCAAGAACTGAAAGTATTCTCCATCTTTGAGCCAGGGTTATGGCTCTTCCTCTCAGGGACAGAATTCTTTTACTGAGCACAGTGAACACCTTGTAGATGAAAATTTTCTAGTCAAAAATTTTAAACAATTTCCACAGAGAAAAATTAAATGGAATTTTTATTACTGCTAATTTAACACAAGTTTACTTAGGCAAGTAAGAATTTATAGAATCTGTGCTTTATTGCACTGCATAGAAACCAGAAATACAGCTACACTCTTAGAGTGTGGTTTGTGGGGAATTAAGAATGGTGTTGTCTGGAATACAGGATGATTCTCAGTGATTGTTGCAAGGAATCACGAAAGAGATCTTTGGTCCAAAGAAGACATCTCTGAAAGAGAGCAGAACATGAATTAAATCCAGCTGAAAGTTAAGATACATGTTAGACTTTTCTGAGCAAGAAATGGACGGTGATTTCCAGGATTTCAGATATGGCTATTCTTTTTAGGTGAATAAAGTACAAAGAGAGTGAGTGGGAGGACTTTTGCCACAAGAGCAGCAAAGACCAAGAAGGTAATCAATTCTTCTACTTTCCCCCATCTGCCATGGACATTATGCTGTCGTTTGTCTATAAAGAAAAGGAAAGATTGGGTGATTTCAAAACCAAAATATTCATTTCTCTGATATGGGTGGGGATATGCCATGAAGTTTAAATCTACAGCTAAGAAACAGAAGATTAAAAATTTGTTGGGAAGTCAATAAGTAAATTTCTAGGTTTTATAGGGAAAGGTGAAATTTTGAGCTACTCAACTCTATCCACTCTTGTTGGAAAGATCACATAAGGTTATGTATAATAAAAATGCACGGTATAGGGCTTCCCTGGTGGCGCAGTGGTTGAGAGTCCGCGTGCCGATGCAGGGGACACGGGTTCGTGCCCTGGTCCGGGAGGATCCCACATGCCGCAGAGCGGCTGGGCCCATGGGCCCGCTGAGCCTGCGCATCCGGAGCCTGTGCTCCGCAACGGGAGAGGCCACAAAAGTGAGAGGCCCGTGTAACCCAAAAAAAAAAAAAAAAAAAAATGCGCGGTATAATATAAAATTGTGTATATGTGCAAGGTAGTATTATGATTATGGCTCATTAGAAATATACTTAGCATGCAATGTACAGCATGATGACTGTAGCTAACACTGTTGTATGATATATTTGAAAGTTGCTAAGAGAATAGATCCTACAGGTTATCACAAGGAAAAAAAATTTGTAACTATATGAGGTGATTCGTGTTAACTAAACTTATTATGCTAATCATTTCACAATACAGTTGACCCTTGAACAATGCAGCAGTAAGGGGTGCTGAGCCTCTGTGCAGTGGAAAATCCGTGCATAACTTTACAGTCAGTCCTCCATATCTGTGGTTCGACTTCCGAGGATTCAACCAACCATAGATGGGATAGTACTGTGGTATGTATTATGTTTAGTGAAAGAAATTTACGGATAAGTGGACCTATGCAATTCAAACGTGTGTTGTTCAAGGGTCAGCTGTATATGTATATCAACTCATTGTGCTGTACACCTTAAACTTATACAGTGCTGTATTTAATTATATTTAATGCAACTGGCAAAGTAGAATGGCAAAATAAAATTTGTGTTTATAGGCAAAAAATATATATATATACTTAGATATTTGTTGCTACTGGGAAAACTGTAACCCAAACTCAGATAGAAATTATTTTCATATATCCATACTTCTAGCTCATCCATTAACAATGGATAATCACAAAATTATATCATAAAGTAAGTACATTTCAATAAATTAGTGTCAAGTCTTACAAAAAAGTAAACATGATATTTTAATATTAGATGGCGTTTCATTTATGTAGGAAAAGTTAAATCATTTTATGGAATCAGTTAACTTGAGCTCTTGATATCATTGTTTAATCAAGTGATTCTCAAATTTTATTTTGCATCAGAATCACTTGGAGGGTTTAAGCCATAATTGCTGTGCTTTCTCTCCATTGTTTCTGATTCAGTTGCTTTGGTCTGGGGCCCAGGGATGAACTACGTTTTTAACAAGAACTCAGGTAATGTTGAAGCTGCTGTTCTGGGAACCATACTTAAGAACCAACTGGCTTGGTAGAAAAAATACCCAGGCCAAATCAGAAGACCTGTGTTCTAGTCTTAGTGCTGATATTAGCTAGCTATGTGGGATGGTGGTCATTTTACCTCTGTACACCTTTCTTTGATAAGATGGTTATATCTGCCCTTTCTAGCTCACAGATTTCTTAGAAAAATGAAGAATATGATGATATGTTGAAAGTAATTTGAAAAAGCTGATTTCAATATGAAGTAGCCAAGATCATAGTATTTGAGCTTCCTCAATAACCAGGAGAAGATTATTTTAAAATCAAGAGCTATAAATATTTATTTATCTACCTTTGTATCATACTTAAAATACATCTACTTTCCAAGTCAGTGGACAATCTCTATTCAGTTAATTCCTGGTTAACTCATACATAGAGCTAGAAAGTTTTTCTTTCACCATTACCAAACTTTTCCATCCAGTTACTTGATCTGTTTACTGGGATCTTTTATCTAAAGCCTTCTATTAGTTTTCATATTAGTTTAAGATGTCAGCCTTGAAGGTGACTTCAGCTACCAGAAGATTTTTTTGTGTGTGTGGTTAAAAATCAGATAGGAAAATTAGAATTTAATAGATTGGAGTGTTATTAATTTCCTGTATCTCATTTAGTTTTACTAAAATCTGCCAAACTCTGTCTCTTAAATGAAAACATTCATTTCGGTACATATGGTGATGATCCTAAAAAATAGCTGAGATTTGAACAGGGTTTTACTGAAAAGGGTGATTAATTTTAGCACACTCATTATGAAGGTGTCTTAAAGAGTTGTTGTACATACACTTCACAGCAATATGTTTTGTGATTGCATTTCCTTACTTTGGGCAGCAGAGCAATTCACTGAAGTTGCAGTAACAGATCATCTCACATCCCTTCCCATCCCAGAAGTGATCCTGGATGTTTACATCAATCTTTGTCAGGTCAGCTACTCCTTCTGGAAGATTGTGACAGTTGCGATCTTTCAGTATCTTTCTGTAGCAAGAGAGGCGATTTGCAGGCATGGCTTGGACTCCTAGCAGCAAAGTTAGTCCAACGGTGACAGCAAGTACTATAAATTTCATTTTGGCTTTTGGCCCTGAGATAGAAGAAGAAACAAAATGTATCAGTGTTTATATGTTTGTTTGTTTGGTTTAAAGATGGAATTCATCTGAACATAAAGTCCTGCAGCATTCTCATAAACTCTTGAATAGAAAGAGTGGGCACTGATTTTTTCTACTATCTTTGAATGTCTCTCAAGTTTAGTTTTATGACCACCTACAATAAAAATCACTTAGAATATTTGTTAAAAATGACATGCCTGAGCTCCACAAAGAAATATTGAGTGAGAGTTATGTGAGGGAGGGGAAAGGGAGATAGTGGGAAGAGACAGAATCTGTGTTTTTAAGGACCCAAAGTCATTTTTTTCAGTATATTCAGTAGATAAAAACTGCTTTGTAAGGTGATAAAACTCAAGTAAATTTCTGGAACAAATAACATCATTGTGTACAGTGATTCTTGACCTTGCATATCCAACAACATTGTCCAAGAATCTGGGTCCAACCCTGACAGAAACAAAAAGCCAGTTATCCTGACATTGACAGATTATATTCTATAGAGATATTTATAGTTAAGTTTTTAAAACTTTCAGAATTATTTTGGGGACCCATTTTTGTTGCATATTTTTAGTAATTGTGAACTCTTCTCCCACATGGGTTACATTTTAGCCTCAGTTGAAAACAGAGGCTTGAATTCCCCATGAGAGGCATTTACCCTGTTCTTGAACACCTACCGTGATGGGAAACTCATGGTTGACTAAATCCATATATTCCACTGATACAGTTCTAACGTTTCCCTTACTGGAAAATATTTTTCTGTGGCTACCACCCACCAGTTCTAGTTTGAACTCTTGGGGTCATACCGCAAGTCTAATTCCTCTTTCAGGAGATAACACTTTAAGTATCGTATCTGCGTACAACTATAGAATATGCATTATCTATTGAATCAGGTTTTTCTGGCTTCCATGTTAAACATGAAGAAAATGGAGGCTCTTGTAGTAAAGGAAAACTAGCAAAGTAGTTGGAGGAAGCAGAATCAGACTCCACAGCCATTCAGATTTCATCTTGTTGGCAGGTGCTGAAGTGCCTTTCCTACCTCTGGAGTATTAAAAAGGGAGGAAGAGGGCTTCCCTGGTGGTGCAGTGGTTGAGAGTCCGCCTGCCAATGCAGGGGACACGGGTTCGTGCCCTGGTCCGGGAAGATCCCACATGCCGCGGAGCGGCTGGGCCCGTGAGCCATGGCCGCTGGGCCTGTGCGTCCGGAGCCTGTGCTCCGCAGTGGGAGAGACCACAGCGGTGAGGGGCCTGGGTACCGCCAAAAAAAAAAAAAGGGAAGAAGACAGATATGTATATTGTACGATGAAAGAAAACAATATCGTTGAAAGGAAATTTTACTATGAAGTTTTCAGTGATTAGATGCACCTCAAAGGTCAGTTATTTTAGGTAAGATAATGGGTTCAAAAAAAAAAAACTTAGTTATTTTAGAGCAGTTTGGCTTACAATAAAATGGAAAGGTAGCTGCAGATTCCCATGTACCCCCTGCCCCACACATGCACAGTCTCCCATGTTATCAACATCCATCACCACATGGTACATTTTACCAAGGATGACCCTACATTGACACATCCGAATCACCCCAAGTCCATAGTTGGCCTTCGGTTTCATGCCTTGTGTTGTACATTCTATGGGTTGGACAAATGTGTAATGGCTTATACCCATCATTTAAATATCACACATGGTATTTTCACTGCCCTAAAAGTCCTCTGCGCTCTGCCTATTCATCTCTCCCCACCAACCTCCAGCCCCACAGCAACGACTGGTCCTTCTTATTGTCTTCATAGTTTCACCTTTTCCATAATGTCCTATAGATGAATCACAGTATGTCAGCTTTTCATATTGGCTTCTTTCATTTAGTAATATGCTTTTAAAGTTCCTCCATGTCTTTTCATGGCTTGACAGAGCTATCTTTATTTTTTAGCACTGGATAATATTCCATTGTCTGGATGTACCACAGTTTATTTATCCATTCACCTACTAAAGGACATCTTGGTGGCTTCCAAGTTTTGCCAATTATAAATAAAGCTGCTGTAAACATCCTCATGCAGGTTTTTATGTGGACATGTTTTTAACCTCTGTGGATAAATACAAAGGAGCATGATTGCTGGATTATATGCTAAGATTATGTTTAGTTTTGTAAGAAACCATCAAACTGTCTTCCAAAGTGGCTGGATTATTTTGCATTCCCACCAGCAATGAATGAGAGTTCCTGTTACGCCATATTCTCAGCAGCTTTTGGTGTTGTCAGTGTTGTGGATTTTGGCCATTCTACTAGGTGTGTAGTGGTCTCTCATTGTTTTAATTTGCATTTCCTGATGACATATGATGTGGAGCATCTTTTCATATGCTTATTTGCCATCTGTATATCTTCTTTGGTGAAGTGTCTGTTAAAATCTTTGGCCCATTTTTAAAGTCAGGTTGTTTGTTTTCTTATTGTTGAATTTTAAGTGTTCTTTGTACAGTTTGGATAACAGTCCTTCAGCAGATGTGCCTTTTGCACATATTTTCTCCAAGTCTGTGGCTTATCTTCTAATTCTCTTAATATTTTCTTTCAAAGAGCAGGTGTTTTTAATTTTAATGAAGTCCAGCTTATTAATTATTTTTTCATATATCATGTCTTTGGTATTGTGTCTGAAAAGGCATCACCAAACCCAAGATCATCTAGATTTGTCCTATGTTATCTTCTAGGAGTTTTAGAGTTTTGTACTTTACTTTTAGGCCTATGATCCATTTTGAGTTAATTTCTTGTGAAGGGTGTAAAGCCTGTGTTTATATTCATATTGGGGCATGTGGATGTCTGGTTGTTCCAGCACCATTTGTTGAAGAGACTGTCTTTCACATTGTATTGTTTTTGCTCTTTTGTCAAAGATCAGTTAACTATATTTATAGAATTCTATTTCTGAGCTCTCTATTCTGTTCCATTGACCTATTTGTCTATTCTTTCACCAGTACCACACTGTGTTGATTACTGTAGCTTTATTGTTAATCTTAAAGTCAGGTAGTGTCAGTCCTCCAACTTTGTTCTTTTCTTTCAATATTGCGTCGGCTATTCTGGGTCTTTTGCCTTCCATATAAACTTTAGAATCAGTTTATCAATGTCCACAAAATAACTTTCTGGGATTTTTATTGGGATTGTATTGAATCTGTACATCAAGTTGAGAAGAACTGGCATCTTGACAATATTGAGTCTTCCTATCTCCATGAACATGGAATATGGAATATCTTTCCACTTATTTAGTTCTTTGGTTATGTTCAACAGTTTTGTAGTTTTTCCTCATATAGATCTCGTTGTATATATTTTGTTAGATTTATACCTAAGTATTTCATTTTGGGAAGGTGCTAATGTAAATGATACTGTGTTTTTAATTTCAAACTCCACTTACTCATTTTTAGTAGATAGGAAAGCAGTTGACTTTTATATATTAACCTTCTACCCTACAACTTTGCTATGATTTAGTTCCAGTAGTTTTTTGTTGAGTCTTTTGTATTTTCTACATAGACAACCTGTCATCTGCAAACAAAGATAGTATTATGTCTTCCTTCCCACTCTGTATACTTTTTATTTCCTTTTCTTCCCTTATTGCATTAGCAAGGGCTTCCAGTATGATGTTGAAAAGGAGTTGTGAGAGTCAACATCCTTACCTTGTACCTGATGTTAGCGGGAAAGCTTCAAGTTTCCCACCATTAAGTATAATGTTACCTGAAGGTTTCTTTAGACAATCTTTATCAAGTTGAGAACATTCCCCTCTATTTTTAGTTTACTGAGAGTTTTTATCATGCTTGAGTTTAAATTTTATCAAATGCTTCTCCTGCATCTATTGATATGATCATGTGATTTTTATTTTTTAGTCTGTCAATGTGATGGATTACATTAATTGACTTTCAAATGTTGAACCAGCCTTGCATACCTGGGATAAATCCCACTTGATTTTGATGTATCATTCTTTTTATACTTGTTTGGATTCAGTCTGCTAATAATTTGTTGAGGATTTTTGCATCTATGTTCATGAGAGATATTGGTCTGTAGTTTTCTTTTCTTGTGATGTCTTTGGCTGGTTTGGGTATTAGGGTAATGCTGGCCTCATAGAATGAGTTAGGAAGTATTCCCTATGCTTCTATGCCTTGAAAGAGATTGTAGAGATTTGATATACTTTGTTCCCTAACTGTTTGATAGAATTCACCAGGGAACCCATCTGGGCCTGGTGATTTCTGTTTCGGGAGGTTGTTAATTACTGATTCAATTTCTTTAGTAGATACAGATCTACTCACATCATGTATTTCTTCCTGTGTGAATTTTGGTAGATTGTGTCTTTCAAGGAATTGGTTCATTTCATCTAGGTTATCAAATTTGTGGGCTTTTCCTTTATTATCCTTTAACTTTCCATGTGATCTGTAGTGATGTCCCCTCTTTCATTTCAGATATTAGTAATTTTGTGTCTTCTCCTTTTTTTTCCTTAGTTAGCCTGGATAGAGGCTTATTAGTTTTATAGATCTTTTCAAAGAACCATCTTATGGCTTCATTGATTTTCTGTGTTGATTTCCTGTTTTCAATTTTATTGATTTCTGCTCTAATTCTTACTATTTCTTTTCTTCTGCTTACTTTGGAGCAAATTTAATTTGCTCTTTTTCTAGTTTCCTAAGGTAGAAACTTAGATGATTGATTTTAGATCTCTCTTCTTTTCTAATATATGCATTCATTGCCTTCATAAATTTCCCTCTATGCACTGCTTTTGCTGCATCCTGCAAATTTGGTAAGTTGTGTTTTCATTTTCATTAAATTCAAAATATTTAAAAATTTCTCAAGATTTCTTCTTTGACCTATGTGTTATTTAGAAATGTGTTTAATCTCCACATGTTCTTCTGTTTTCCAGTTATCTTTCTGTTATTGATTTCTAGTTTAATTCCACTGTGGTCTCAGAGCAGACCTTGTGTGACTTCTTTTAAATTAGGTAAGATGTGTTTTATGGCTCAGAATGTTGTCTATC